GACCGCCAGCGCGGCGCAGCAGGCAGTCTCAGCATCCCCCCTGGAGAGCGGGGCGCCGGGCGACGGCAGCATGGAGGACCAACGTTCCCTCAGCATCCACTCCTTCCAGACCCTGGGGCTCCACAACAGCAAGGCCAAGTCCATCATCACCAACAAAGTGGCGCCCGTGGTCATCACGTAAGTCCGTGGCAACCTCTTGCATCCCCTTGCTGCCCTCTCCAGACCTCTTTTTTCCTGCACCATCTTCCCTATATATTGCTTTTTTTTTTTTTTTTAATCTTTACCTAATGCCGTTATTTTTTGCCTTTGCCCACCCGTACGTGGCTTTTGCAGGTACAACTGCAGGGAGGAATTTCAGATCCACGATGACCTGCTGAAGGCCAACTACACGGTGGGACGCATTTCCGAGGCCACACTGGAACACTACCTTGTGCAGGTGAGCGTCGCCACCACCCAGTGCCAAACCCATTTCAGCCTCGGCTTTGGGAATCTCAAGGATTTTTGGGACTAATTTTGAAGATTATCAAGAAAAAGCCACTTTTCTTCCCAGCTGCGTTCAAGCCTCCTTGCTCAAACCCGCATATTTCCCATCTTCTTTCTACCCATCTTGTTTTGCAGGGGAAATATTTCATGGTCAGGGATGTATACGGCAAATTAGACGTCTTGAACACTACCGGCAGCTGCGGCGCTCCCAATTTCCGACAAGCCAAAGGAGGTTACGCCGTGTTCGGCATGGGGCAACCCAGCCTCAACGGCTTCAAGCTCGTGCTGCAGAAGCTGCAGAGAGAGGGCCACAAGGTTGGTGGGAGGTTGGAAATCGGGGTGGAAAAAGGCAGGAGAGCTTTTTGGGCAGCTTTTCCTCCTCTTCTCAGGAGTGCGTCTTCTTCTGCGTCCGCGAGGAACCCGTGGTCTTCCTGCGGTTGGAAGGGGATTTTGTGTCCTACACCCCCCGGGGCAAGGAGAACCTCCACGAGAACCTCCAGCGCCTGCAACGGGGACTGCGGGCGGAGAGCCTGGAGCTGGCCATCCGCAAGGAGGTGAGGTGGGACGGGAGCGGGGGGGTCATCACCCCGGCGATAACGGGGTGCGTGTATCCCCCCTCGGCTCAAAGATGAGCGGAGAGGTTGTCGGAGGTGGTGGGTGCCCCGTGAGTTTTGACGGTGGTCGCCATCTCCGCTAGATCCACGACTTTGCGCAGCTGAGCGAGAGCGTCTACTACGTCTACAACGACATCGAGCGCTTGCGGGACGAGCCCCACGCCGTGCGGGTGCAGTGCGAGGAGGACATCCAGGTGACGGAGGAGGTCTACCGCAGACCCATCTTCCTTCTGCCCTCCTACAGGTGCTCCTCCTCCTCACGCGTGGTCGGTGGCTTTGCTTTTGCAAGCTGGGCTGCCTTTCCTCTTGAGACCCTCTTAAGCCACGTGTCCTCCACCGCAGTGGGGATGAAGTCCCCCCGTGGCCCTGTCCTCCTAATGAGGGCTGTCCCTGTGCCCGGCAGGTACCACCGGCTGCCCCTGCCCACCGAGGGAGCCCCTTTGGAGGAGCAGTTTGATGCTTTCATCCGCTTCCTCAGGGTGAGCCGAGCAAAAGTGCCTGGTCCTCAGGGCCACGTCGGGTTGGGATTTGCTCCCACGCCTGGGCAAGGATGCCATGTCGGGGAGCGTGACTCCCTGAGAGCACCTTCCCCTGCTTTTGGCTTGATGCTGCCCGTTAGAGGATGCCTGTGCCCACGGTTGCATCCCGTTCCCATTGCTGTAGACCCTGCTGGAGAAGTCCATGTTGTCCAGCTGCTTGTCCCTACCTCTGGCTGGAGGTGACTATCCCTCACCACCTCCCAGCATCCCTGCGCGGGTGGTTCTTCCCTAAACAGGTTTGGGAGAAACCATAGAATCATTAAGGTTGGAAAAG